AGACTCCCTGCCGAGCAGGGAGCCCAATGTGGGACTCGATCCCGGGACTCCAGGATCATGACCTGAGCTGAAGGCAGTCGCTTAACCAACTGAGCCACCCAGGCGCCCAGTTTCAGAGGTTTTAATATAAAGCTGCAAATAAAGTGGAAGATGGAGCTCGAGAAAGTGTTTAATTTTACCCCCCCTCCTTAGAGATGAAAAAACTTAGACCCACAAAGTTTTGACTAATTCCATGCTAAATTAAGACTAACTGCTAGAGAAAAAGGAGGGTGGCCCAGGGCACTGAGCTTTTCTTTTCTTTTTTTTTTAAGTTTTTATTTTAATTCCAGTTAGTTAACATAGAGCGTTATTCTGAGCCTTTCTATAGGAAGAAGTCCCCCGTTGGAGACCATTTGCTTTAAAAAAGATGAAAGTCATGTTTGTCTAACTGCTTCCCAAAGGGTTGGGCTCTTTGTCTTAAAATGGGATGATGTACCATCCTCTCTATCACTCAAGACACTTTGGAACTTACAAGAAGATCAGGAGGCTGGGTCCACTGCATAGCAGAGGTGGAATTTGGACGCGGTTTTACTGCCGGATGCCTGAGTGGTAACAAGACCTTTACCTTGGCAAACGCACACGGTCGAGAACAATTTTACACTATCTTTCGAGCAACTTCACCTCTGAGGAGGTGACTGTGCCCCTCATTCCTCATCCAAGCCCAGATAACTTTCCCTCCCCTAACTGCTTCCACTGATCTCTCTCTCCCTCTGTTACTTATTAAAATGTGCAATACAACAAGAAAAGGAAAAGATTATCCTGCCTCCTGCCATGCAAGACGGCATGCGGAAGGCCAAGGTTAAATGCAGCATTTGGTTTCTTAAGCTTCTCTAATGCATAGGTGTGGAAAAGCAATCTGGGACCGGAGTTTACAGCAGTGACTCTCTGAGGATAAAAACTTGACTTTAATTTGGACTCTCTGGCTAAGATAAAATCTGCTTCTGCTATCATTATCCCACTTATGTTTGTCCCCACTCTCTTTCCACTTTGCCACCCAGCTGAGTGGGAAGAAATTAACCTGACCTTGAAGAATACCCAGAGAATCTTGAGGACCATCGAGTTTTCAGTGGCCAATACAGAGGCCTACCAACATTTACATAGACTCGTGGGCCTGAAAGGGATCTTAAAAATTATCTAGACCACAGATTTAACAGACGAGAAAATGAAGTCCAAAGCGCTAAAGTGACTTGTCCAGAGTGGTCAGCTAGTTAGTTGGAAGAAGAGTCAGAACGAGAATGAGACCTCAAAGCCCTGTGGCACCGTGACTAGTCTCCAACCACGTCTGGCTCATCCCCAGATCACTGATGAAGGAACGTGCACGCCCCAGGGCTTTTATACAATGTTTATAATTTCCCTAGGGCAAATAAAAACTCCCAAGGATGGGCTCAAGAAAAGCCATCTCAAAAGTCAGGGAAAGGAGTTATTTCAATATTCTTTAGGGTCTTTATCTGGATCAAAATTGTATATTCAAATTAGAATTGAACATTGTTTTTTCTTTTTTTTTTAAATTTTTTTATTGTTATGTTAATCCCCATACATTACATCATTAGTTTTAGATGAAGGGTTCCATGATTCATTGTTTGTGCATAACACCCAGTGCTCCGTGCAGAATGTGCCCTCCTCAATACCCACCACCAGGCTAACCCATCCTCCCACCCCCTTCCCCTCTAGAACCCTGTTTGTTTTTCAGAGGAACATTGTTTTTTCTAACTAGGAATGAGACCCTATGTTTTCTCCCCCCAAAGTTGCTTCTGTTTATGTTTCTGATCTGCTCCTACCCAACACATTCTGTATTTCTAGTTTTAGATTCTGGCACAGCCCGTGGCCAGTGGGTTAGAGCAAAAGCATGAAGTATGGATTGATATTTATCCTGGAATCTGCGAATTAAATTCAACCCGCCAATGTGTTTTGTAAATCCAAGTCTATTTTTCTTATTTATACTGAGAAGTATAAATTCTCTCCTCATCCCTCCTGAGAATGAGTTTGTGGGTGGGTAGCTCTTGAGTCTCAGTGAAGATTCTAAAGACAGCCCTCCGGGGCCAGCTTCTGGTGCTCCTGCTGGACAACCGCTCACCTATAACCCTGCGCCATCAAAATTAGTTCTCTGGAGTGATCATCCTCGAGACTCCCCCGTCTGTCTTGAAGCACCAACCGGGTTTTGTAAAGGAAGTCAATTTCATGGACTTGAGTAAAAGGGTGAAGAACTTATATTGCAGTCTTAGAGAAAAACCGGACAAGAACCATTTGGAGAATTTCAGTCTAGAGTGATACGGCCTGCCGGTGGTCTTCATCTTTTTTTTCATCTCGAGAAATGACCTCACCCAGTGAGACCCACACAAGCCACTTCTATTTATTTACTTATTTTTCTGAAGCTATGGCAGCTTCTGCACACTGTAGAAGTAATTATTATCCTTCAAAGTTGTTTGTTTGTTTGTTTGTTTTAAACCTTCCGAATTACTGGTTTTCCCTGACAACCTAAGTTGCATTGTTCTTAACTCTCTCAAGCAGAGTTTGAAACATGTGGAAGGACAAAGCCCACGTGAAAATAAAGAATCGTAAAATAGAATGTAAACTGTCATATATGAATTTAGTTGATCTTTGTTTCCTTTAATAATCTTCAAACAAAACACCTTATTCTGGTTCATAAAGATCATTACCTTTGAGAGTTAAATATCTTTGCAGGTCCTTTTAAAGTTTTCTTTTTAAAAAGTTCAAACATTTCATGTTCCACAAACTCAAAAACCTTTCAACTAGTGTAGGAAAAAAAAAACAAACAGTATTTCAAAACCATGGAATTCTCCATTTATTTTACACGTCTATCGTGAAAGGAAAAAAAAATCCCTTTATTCCTACTGATATATATTTATTCAAAATTAGTTCTCTAGCTACTCGGTAACATTTTTAAAAGCTCTACTGAATCATTCTTTCAGTGGTCATCCATTAGATCCAAAGAAGTTAGAGTATTAAGTTAAAACCCCAAAAACAAAAAATTAGAATTATTCTCTCAAGGTTATAAGGAATGAAATGTGGCTCCGAGCCTTCATTTCTTGCAAAAATAATACCACACAAAACGTATCCCCTGGACTTTCATAGGAAACCATTAGGACAACTTTTGGAAATTCTCCTAATAGAATTTATTTCCATGGGGCAGACTGATCACCTCATCCACAAGTCCTGTCAAGAGCCATTCAAATGGGTTGTCTATACCTGGCTTTCACTGGCCAACAGAGATTTATAAGATGTTGACAGTGTTCAGAAAAGACTGATATCCACAGAGCTCAAAGTCTCACTCCACTGTAAGAAACACCGGACTCTATAAGACAACTGAGGACCGAGCTAAGTAACCTCATCCCTCAGAGCAGGACAAGTTTTTTCTTATTTCACCCGTTTGGGTGGCTCAGGTAGAGGAAGTGTTTAACAGGATGGTGTATAGGTCCGTCTAATTTAACCGCTCCTAAAAAGTATTAAACTCATTCTTTGGAATAATAGAGTTGAATTCTGAATGCTAAAAACATTAGGATGGCTACAATCCTGCATCTTGTAAGTTTGATCGTACCTATTTTCTCTGTAGATGTCAATGCCCACTGAAGATTTTTATAGCATGTGTTCATGTCAGTCCCGGTCAAAGGTATTATGCTGTCTCACACTGGTAAGATTTTTAAAAATACATCTTCAAACCCGACTCAAGAGAACGTTCACGTTGAAAGTAGCCATGACCCAAGTGCCAGGGAAAACGCAATTACTCATCTCACTCAAATGCTTTCATTTCCAAGAAAACTTTGGGCCACCATTGAGAATTCAAGTTCACAGGAACAAAGTTTAGGGACAACAAACAAAGTGAGTTCTAAAATACTAAGTCTCTAATCCATTTGCCTTTCTGTCCATGTGTCATTCCAGCGTGACCTTGCATACTTTGCTGTTGAAGACCTAAGGATGCATTACGACTGTTCCCCTCAGGTAGGGGAGGGCTGTGCGTGCCCCAGCGAGGATCAAGGAGGGGGCTGAGTTGGCATTTGAAATGAGTGCCTAGGCTGCTCACTTTGTACTAAATCATCTGTCATCTCACTGGGGAACCCAGCCTTATGTAAGGCAAAACCTGAGCTATTCATTTCTGGATCTGAGGTGTTGACATGGCGGTCATTATGTTTTGAAGCTAATTTATTTTAAAGGCATCTAAGTTAGGAAGAGCTCTCTGAACTTCAAAGTTATGTATTCCTGAGTGAGGGGAGAGTAAAGATCAGCTTTCATAATTAGCCTGAAGATCTATTTTTTTTGATTCCCTCAGCCTCAAGGTAATAAAGGAAATGTACGGAAGCTTTATTATTTTATAAAGATGCGGATTTGTTGTGGCTCTGTGCATCGTTTTAGAGTGCTTGTTGGTCCATGGTTGGAATGGTTGGAATCTGGGACACAGACTGGGGCTGAATTTCTTTACCCTCCTAACCCCAGAGAGTCTTTAGAAAAATAGAAACAAAAGAGCACAAAGTACTTAAGGTAAGACACTGTTGTATTCATAATATAGAGAAATAACCACCATGCCTCATGGACAGGAGATGCAGTTCTCCACGGGGCTACAAAACTGTGCTAGTAATAATTTTAATTGGATGCTATCTTTGCTGCCTTCAGAAAGTATCATAAAATGGAATTATTACAGGCTACAAGTGCACTTCCAGGGCTGGCCTCTCACAGGAGGAAACAGAAAACATTTATCCATTGGAGGGCAACATCAATGGGCTTCTATTTGTTTCGTTTACATGCATCCCCAGCTGCCTGCTATTCGCTTCCTCCTCCCTGGGTCTGAGAGATCAGTTTGAATGAGGTGCTGCAGCCGGGGCTGCTAAGTTTTGCGGGCCCTGGGCCTCGGTGCGGGGGCGGGGGGGGATGGCAGGGGAATGGTGGGGGGACGGCGCCAGCCCCGAGGGCAGGTCCCCGGGGCTCGCGGGGCGGGGCGGGGAGCATACCTGCAGAGGATTGGGTGGCGTGAGCGGCGACGGAAGGCCATGTCCCGGAGACTGGCTGGGTTTCTGAGGGGGGCTTGCACTCTGCTGAGTTGGAGACGGTTGGTTCTGGTTCTGGTTCTGGCTCTGGCTCTGGGGGTGGGGGTGGGGCTGCGGCTGCGGGGGCTGAGCTGGCGGAGCCGGCGGCTGCTGGGAGGCGGGAGGCGGCGGCTGCTGGGGCGGGGCGGGCTGGGGCTGCGGCTGCGGGGGCTGCGGGGGCGCCTGCGGCCTGGGCGGCGGCGGCGGCGGCGGCGGCGGCGGCGGCTGGAGCTGCTGGAGCTGCTGGAGCTGCTGGAGCTGGGAGTTCAGGGATGAGGTAGCTACAAGGAGAGAAAGGGAACGTGCAGTTGAAACACACACGACCACATCTGGCGGGGTCTCTGACAGCTTGCTCTGTGCGAGCAGAAAGAGTTTGCTCTCCCGCCCTCATCTCTTCGGTGCTGAGGTTGCGGGGGGCGGTGGGGGCGCTGGGAGAAAAGAGGCGCTTCGTGGGGGAGATTTTAAAATTTGGAGAGGCCCAGCCTGGCCCCCATCAGGCGTGGCTTTCAAGGGTATGGAGCGATGGCAGGCAGCGCTGTGCCAGGAACGGAGTAACGTTTACCTGCTTTCTCTCTCTCTGTCTCTCTCCCGTCCCGCACTGGCTTGGGAAAGTCACTGAGGCTTTCAAGATTGCCTCTCGAGTGTAAAAGTTCAAGCCCTTTAATTCTTTTGGCACATGCCCAACTGGAGTTAAGAACAGAAACTAAATTGTTTGCAATCTGCTTTTGCTCAAGAGTCCCATCAGTGGCGTCTCCGCCACCTGCTACTTCAGACCGCGCCAATTTGCTTAGACATGTTAGTTTCGAGTTTCTACACTTTTGGTGGGTTTTTTTTTTCTCCTTAAACATGGTACATGCTTCTCGGTTTTGCAGAGACAAAAGTCTGAGTCTGAATATTTTGCCTGCTGATCAAAGAGACAGGGCCCCCTCACCCTCCACCTCCAAACTGGAAGGGTACAAGTAGGCTACTGTGAACCCTACAGTGGTAACTAGACATGTTAGCACCTCAAAAACAGGCCAGGAACTGAGAGAATGAAATGATCTTTGTAAGATTTCCTTGTTAGTTGAAAAGTAAGACCAGCTTCTTAACACTGAACACGCTAAATTTGTTCTCATATGCCCATCTACTATTGGACAATTTCTGCAGCAGGAAGACTGTTAGTTGGGCCAAAGAAGGATGTAGAGAAAATTACTGTTACAAGTTCACTTCCTTCTTCTCCCAACTCTCAGTCTAAAAGCTTTCCAACAAACTTACCAACTAATATAAGGATCAGTGTTGAACCTGTAGGCCTTGGCTGAAATGTTTTCCTGCTTCTCCCTTACCTAGAATTAGTCAACATTTTCAACAGTAATGTTTGTAACATTAAACTAGTTCCTATTTTTTTTTTTTTAAATGCTCCTTTAAGGATGCCTGGGTGGCTCAGTCAGTCAAGTGTCTGCTTTTGGCTCAGGTCATGATCCCAGAATCCTGGGATCGAGTCCTGCATCAGGCTCCTTGCTCGGTGGGAGCCTGCTTCTCCTTCTGCCTTCTACTCCCCCTGCTTGTATGATCTCTCTCTGTGTCAAATAAATAAATAAAATCTTTTAAAAAATGCTCCTTTAGAAAACATCTACTGGTTCTGTAAAGTGGAATATTGCATTACCTGCCTTCACACAACAAATAGGTTCTTGAGAAGCATGTGCACATTGAAATGTATATTGAGGACACCCAGAGAACTTGGTAAGAAAATCAAGCAGTGACTCTGTAAATTTAAGAATCGTTTTGTTAAATTTATTGAACATCAGCAATGCACTAGTACTGTGCCTAGGGATATATAGGATTTAAGGAGATAATCCTGCCTTCAAGGAGTTCATAGTCTATTTCTGGAGTTAAGATTAACTCATAAAAAACAATCGATTCTGTGGTACTGGCACAAAAACAGACACATAGATCAATGGAACAGAATAGAGAGCCCACAAATGGACCCTCAACTCTATGGTCAACTCATCTTTGACAAAGCAGGAAAGAATGTCCAATGGAAAAAAGACAGTCTCTTCAACAAATCGTGTTGGGGAAATTGGATAGCCACATGCAGAAGAATGAAACTGGACCATTTCCTTACACCACACACAAAAATAGACTCCAAATGGTTGAAAGACCTTAATGTGAGACAGGAGTCCATCCAAATCCTAAAGGAGAACACAGGCAGCAACCTCTTCGACCTCAGCCGAAGCAACTTCTTCCTAGAAACATCGCCAAAGGCAAGGGAAGCAAGGGCAAAAATGAACTATTGGGACTTCATCAAGATAAAAAGCTTTTGCAAAGCAAAGGAAACAGTCAACAAAACCAAAAGACAACCGACAGAATGGGAGAAGATATTTGCAAATGACATATCAGATAAAGGGCTAGTATCCAAAATCTATAAAGAACTCATCAAACTCAACACCCAAAGAACAAAGAATCCAATCAAGAAATGGGCAGAAGACATGAACAGACATTTTCCCAAAGAAGACATCCAAATGGCCAACAGACACATGAAAAAGTGCTCAACATCGCTCGGCATCAGGGAAATCCAAATCAAAACCTCAATGAGATACCACCTCACACCAGTCAGAATGGCTAAAATTAACAAGTCAGGAAACGACAGATGTTGGCGGGGATGCGGAGAAAGGGGAACCCTCCTACACTGTTGGTGGGAATGCAAGCTGGTGCAGCCACTCTGGAAAACAGTATGGAGGTTCCTCAAAAAGTTGAAAATAGAGCTACCATATGACCCAGCAATTGCACTACTGCGTATTTACCCCAAAGATACAAAAGTAGGGATCCGAAAGGGTACGGGCACCCCGATGTTTATAGCAGCAATGTCTACAATAGCCAAACTGTGGAAAGAGCCAAGATGTCCATCGACAGATGAATGGATAAAGAAGAAGTGGTATATATATACAATGGAATATTATGCAGCCATCAAAAGGAATGAGATCTTGCCATTTGCAATGACGTTGATGGAACTGGAGGGTATTATGTTGAGCGAAATAAGTCAAACAGAGAAAGACATGTATCATATGACCTCACTGATATGAGGAATTCTTAATCGCAGGAAACAAACTGAGGGTTGCTGGAGTGGGGGATGGGGTGGGAGGGATGGGGTGACTGGGTGATAGACACTGGGGAGGGTATGTGCTCTGGTAAGCACTGTGAATTGTGCAAGACTATTGAATCTCAGATCTGTACCTCTGAAACAAATAATGCAATATATGTTAAGGGAAAAAAAAAAAGAAGAAGAAGAAGGTAGCAGGAGGGGAAGAATGAAGGGGGGGAAATCCGAGGGGTAGACGAACCATGAGAGATGATGGACTCTGAAAAACAAACTGAGGGTTCTAGAGGGGAGGGGGGTGGGAGGATGGGTTAGCCTGGTGATGGGTATTGAGGAGGGCATGTTCTGCATGGAACAGAGGGTGTTATGCACAAACAATGAATCATGGAACGCTACATCTAAAACTAATGATGTAATGTATAGGGATTAACATAAGAATAAAAAAAAATCGATTCTGGGGGTAACTGTTAAAGAGTTCTGCTGATGGTAGACCAGAAGGACCCAGGGAATCAAGACAGGGGTTTTCTGTTGGGTCAGAGAGGCCAAGGCAGTGTCCGTGGAGGTTGTGGAATGAGAGCAGAGAGGGTTCGAGAGAGGGAGGGTCATTCCTCGAAAGGAAGGAAGAGAGGATATTACGATTTGGAATGTGAGAAACGTCCAGATGACACAGCATGGCTCAGGTGATATTGCTGAAGGACAACGTGGAGAATGGACTGCCTGCAACAGGGGGTCTGGGAAGTTTGAATGATTTTCGAACTTAGAGAAGGTGGAGAGCCTATGTTTTGAAAGTGGTGCGAAGATCACTCCCAATTAGCCTCTGGTGTTAAGTCAGATTTTAAATTTATAATCGGGTTTGTTTATTATTATTATTTTTTTAATTGGGTTTGTTCAAAGCCAGGCACACTTGTATTGGTGAAATGGTAGCTTGACAGCTCCCAGGGGCACCAAATACCAAACTGTGCTCTCAGGTCCCTTGAAGAGCTTCCATGTTGTACAGGTTGGGACGGCAAGTGCTCACTGGGTTGGTGAATTACTCTAGGTCTATTCAAGTACTCGGTGCAGTGTGTGTCCTGCCTTACATGGAAGTCCAGGGTGCTCTGGGACTCCAGAGGTAGAGGTAGTGTGTATGAGACAGGGCCGCAAAAATACCCAGTCAATGGAAACTCTCTGAAGCTTCTGCTCCATTCTGCTGCAAACCTAAAAATGCTCTAAGAAATTAAGTCTTTCTAGAAAAAGTACCCAGTCATCCCATGTATTGGAACCTTAAGAGAATGGCCTGGTTTTGTCACCCGTCCATTCCTATTGTACAAAATCACATTTTATTGATGATTTGGGAGCCCTGCTCAATTCTGACCTCCCAGGATCTCCCGCAATCTGGAGGGTCCTGGGGGAATGGGGTTTGATCTCTCCTTTTGGTGGAGTTTACAGATTTGGGGAATCTGATTGCATCTGGCCTCCTGCCTGATTCAAATCAAGCCTGTCCTGCTTCCTTTCAGGTGGGGAGCACAGCTGTCAGTGCTTATTTTCATGGTTGACTTAAATACCATACTGTTTCATTTTGCTTAGAAAAGCATTTATCTAAATCGGCATTTAGAAACAGGAATAGACTGGGGAATATTGGCAGACAGATATTGGCAGATGGGTAGGTGCAGCAGACCCTAACCTACTAATGAGACACGGTTCCAAATATGTCTTCGTTCCTTTATGTTGGTGCGTTCACATTGTTTGGCTATTTCTTTCCCATAATCTGAAGCTTGCCTGGAAAGGCATTAAATTAACCTAAATGAAACCTCTTTGAGTTACATACGCTAATTTGGCATCTGCAAGCAAAAAAGGGTGGTGATAAAATATGTCCAGGTATGAACTGGGTGCAAAGAAAAGCAAGAGGGAGTGATACAAGAATGTAACTTTGGTCTAAAGAACACCAAAGCCATGTACATAACAATATGTAAACAAAAGTAAAAAAAAAAGTGGTAAAGTGGAGTGTCTAAAGACCTCATTGTATAAAGCATACTGAGATACAGACACAAAGGTAGGAAGGTTCCAAAGATATTTAACTATAGAGAATGTGAATAAAATGAAGATTTTTAGGGGTGAAACCCTGACCCTATGTATGGAAAATTAAAGATTTTTTTAAAGATTTTATTTATTTATTTATGTAATTTAATTTTTTATTTATTTGACACAGAGAGAGACAGCAAGAGCAGG